GGTGTTTCTTGTATGCAGCATATTGTTGGATTTTGCTTCTTGACCCATTCTGCCAGTCTGTTTCTTTTGATTGGTGAATTGAGACTATTAACATTGATGGTTATAACTGAAACGTATTGACTTATCATTGCCATGACTTTTTCTTTTTGTTGGGTTCTCCCCCTTTACATTTAATTTCTTGTCGTAAAGCCACACTTTCAATTGAGCTATGTTTTGCACTTTTATTTACTGATCACTCTGTAATTACACTAAACAAAAGCTAATAAAGAATCCTGGAAATGACTTAGCTTCCAGGAATTCTGTTAGCTGCTCACACACCTAGCCCCTCAGAATGGCCTGTGCCTTCCTCAACAATTACTGAGAGCTTGCTGGGGCAGGGCGCTGTGCTGAGAGTGAGAATGCCATAGTGATTCACACATTTTCCCTGCTCGCTTTCATTATCCTCAAAACAAATGGTGTGTTGATGCTGTTGGATTTATGGACTTTTGTCGGGATTATTTTAAATCTAGGAAGAAAGCCACAGATGAACATAGGTATCATGCCTTTTTTTGGACAAACTTCCCTCTCCAGTCCTCATGACTTACTGTGGGGCTGTGCCCAGGCAGAGCCAGGTTTTGTGGGGCCTGAAGCCTATGCCATTCAGCAAACTCTCTTTAAGAGAAAGAACTCAGAATCATGAACATAAAACTAGGCATAAGAGTGAATGGGGGCTGGGGATTTAGCTCAGTGGTTCCGCTGCCTGCCTTGTAAGTGCGAGGACCTGAGTTCAGTCCCCAGTACCAAAACAAACAAACAAAACCACCTTGAGATCCCACTACACACCTATTAGAATTGATAAAATTCAAGACTAAGAATGCCAAGTATTGGGAAGAACACGGAAGACCTAGAATGAATGCTCTTATACTGCTGATGAGAATGTAAAATCATTTTGGAAAGCAGTCTAGGAGTGTCTTAAAAAATATATATATATACTTACTACAGAACTCATTTAGTCCACTCAGAGATATTTACTTAAGAGAAATGAAAGCATGTGTAATAGCAGCTTTGTTTGTAATAAATGGGAAGTGAATTATACTAGGACAATTCATCATTCAAGTAAAATAAATAAAATTATATCCCTGGATATCTCATTACACACAAATGCAGATGAATTAAATACAAAAAATGAGAGAAGTAGACCTTCACAATTTTTAGAAGAAAATATCTTAATGGAGTGATGGGAAAAAAAGATTACTTAAACATGATCCAAAACATATACAATAAGGAAAAGACTGGGGGGATATGGAACTGTCATTTAGATTAATTTATAAAATCTCTGCGCAACCAAAGAAACCATAAAGTTAAAAAACATAATCTGGGAGAAGTCATAATCATATAAGACTAGACTCTAGAATAAAGAATGCATGCACATTGATAAAAGAAGAGAGATATCCCATTGTTTTTTATGGGCAAAGAATAAAAATGGAAACTCTCAAAAGAAAAAATTCAAATGACAAAAGATTTATAGGTGTTTGACATCACTAATAACAAGGGAAAACCATTTAAAACAATGATTTCAGATCTAATCAGTGTCAAAAATAGGAATCCGACACTGCTGGGTTAGATTGTTTTAATCTGAATTTCACCATTATTCAGGAATGGTGAGGCCAACAGACCAGGAGATAATAGCCATGGAAAGACTGTGTTGAGCGGTTTCCAGGAGAAAGATAAGGCAGAGCAGGCTGAGGATCTGCTGGTTCGGATGATTTTAGCAGGCAGTGGAGTCCAGGTCTCTCGCTGGTACCCAGTTCTGGGGTAAGCGGGGCAGAGGAGTACTTACTGCCCCCTAGATGTAAAGCGAGGGAACCTGGACTCCGGATTGGTGAACTGGCCCACAAAAGGTACAACCTTGGGTGATTGTGTTAGTTACTTTTCTCTCATTGCTGAGACAAAATACCCAACACCCAAAGTTAAAGGGAGAAAGGTTTGTTTGCCTTACAGTTTGTGGGGCTTTTGGTCTATAATAGGCTGGCTCCAAGGCAGGGTGGCAGAGGAGCAACAGTTCGTGGCAGTGGAAGATAGTAAAAGCAACAAGACGGGCCTTAACAGCATCTTTCTGCCCCTTTTGTCTTTTCCAGGCTACTTAGAGTGGGCAGCACTCATCCCCTTCATCCTAGCTCCCTTGAGCCTAGCATTGCACCATGAATCAATCTCAGTGTCACACACTCTAGATCCAGCTACCTCTGAAAAGGCCTATGACCACATGAGGCTTTGGGGGGCCATCTAGACACAGCCATAACAGTGGGCCCCTGGCTGTTCCTGAGAACTGGGTGGCCCTGGGATTCACAGTCTCTCCGTGGTCACTGTGCCCCCAAATGATGGAGCAGGAAGAATTCACAAAACCTTTGATGTGATTCCCTCTCTGGTTTTGGTTTGGAATGTCCCCTAGAGGCCCACATTTTTAAAAAGTTGGGCCCCAGCCTGTGACTCTATGGGGGCTCAGAAAGAAAGCCCTGGAACATGCCTTGGAGGGAGTATAGGAACTCCCCGCTTCCTGTATTTTTCTTGCTTCTGCGCTGCCAGGATTTGAACAGTTCTCTACCCTACACCCTCACCATGATAAACTGTGCTGCCACAGGTCCAAAGTGGCAAATCATGTAATTTTGTTTGTGGGTGCTGTTGAGATCAGAAAGGGTATGAAATTTCTAAACAATGGGCCACAATAAACTTTACTCCTCGTAAGATGATTTGTCTCAGGTACTTTGTTACAGTGATGGAAAGCAAACACAAATCTCTTTTATTTGTTTTTGTTGTCATATGCTTTTAGGCATGATTTTGTATACTACAACATCATTGAATTTATCACCTCTAACAGGTTTTTGATAGAGTCTTTATGTTTTTTTATACCTACAATGTTATGTCATCTGCAAACAGGACAGTTTGACATCTTCCTTCCCAGTTTGCATGCACTTTATTTCTTTTTCTTTTTATTTCTTTTTCTTGCCTAATTGCTCTGGCTAAGACTTCCAGAACTATACTGAGTAAGAGTGGTGATAGTGGACGTCCTTGTTTGTGATCTGGGAGGAAACATCTAAGAAAATATTGTACAGTTAATAACAAACCTCTTCAGAGAGTGATGGAGAGTAATGTAACAATACCAGTAATACTGATACATATGGATATATGTATGAGAGAGAGAGAGAGAGATCCAGGCACTTCTAGACAATTATCATAGAAAAATCCTCACATACAGGAAGATATGTACAAGAAAGTTTACTATAGCATTTTCAATAATTGCAAATAATCAGATACAACTTAAGCATGAGTCAGAGAATGGATGAGTTATTTATTTGTATAATAAAGTACTATATTATACCAAGAGTATGCCTACAACAAAGAAACAAGCTGCAAAGTTACAAATACATGGTGCATGCTCATCAGATTTTTAAACTTGCAAATAAATGTTATACAATGCTATGAATATATGCATAATAAAAATATTTAAAACATTAAAAGTATAAAATAAATATAAACTCATGGCAGTGGTTCTCTCAGGCAGGGGGATAAGATCGGAAAGGAGTATATGGGTGATACCAGCTCTATTTGAAATGTTTTCTTTCTTTTTACAAAGGATTAAAATAAAATGTGCTACTGTTTAAATGAATTCTGAGCATACGAAGTACTGTACAATATTGTTCTTTATTCTCAAGTGAACATCTAAATATTAGAGCCAAAAAAGTAGAGTGTGTCAGGCAGATCCCAGAAGAGATATATATTCCAGGAATAGAGCAATATGTACAGAAACATGAATCAGGCAGTAGCTTGGCTGCGTGGGAGCTACAGGTCTGTAGAAGGTGTGGATCAGAGGGGCTTACTGAGCCAGCCTGAAGCATGAGCAGGACCCAGAGGAGCAACAGACGGGGTCCTTTCTCCTGTTACTAGACTAGGCTCTCACCCAGAGGTATCCATTAGGAAGCTCTCTGAGGGTTTTAAGCAGAGAGCTTCCCATTATTCTACTTCGGATGAGGTGTAGGGGATGGCTGGGTACACCCAGAAAAGAAGCTGGGAGACTTAGAATTAATAGGTAGCCCAGGGACAACAGCTGAGGAATCATTTGAAATTGTCTGAGTGACAAGAATTGTACTAAGAGCCTCTACTTCTCCACAGTAACTGCAAACAACTCACATATAAAATATATTAGTAAAGATTTTTTTAAAGTATACATTTGTGTATTGTTCAGAAGGAAAAAATAGTGGCTACTGAGAAAATTCCAACTTGAGAGGGTCTTATTACTACTACTACATCTTTCATTTAATCCTTGGGGTGCTTATTATAAGTGAATTTTTACAGTTGTTGCTTCCTAACCCAACACGGATGGAAATTAGCACTGTCTTTACAGACATGGGAGACCACACAATGACAAAGGGGAGCTTCCCTCTCTCTGGACCCCTTATTACCTATGCCACTGCCTGGCCCTGCTGCCCCGGATCCATGCCAGGACAGTGGAGGAAAAGAAGAAAAGCCAGGAAAACAGCTTCTGATGGAACTTCTGGGGGTACAAAAATATCTACCTGAATAATAAAAAATAAATAATTTAAAAGCACGGGAACATGTGTAGGAAATACTGCCTCAGTAAACCCAGAGACTGTGGCCTAACGTACAGCAGAATAATTCTGGTGGTCCCTTCCCCTACTGCCACAGAAAACACTCACTGTGGCAACTCAGATGTTATGAGCACTCATCAGTCATGCAGCAGAAACCAAACAGCTGCCTGAAAGGCTGAGGAAGAAACCCAGCCATTCCTAACTGTAGCTCCATCTTGTCCACATTGATATTTTTAGTGATTCAAAGCTGCTTCTATGGGTCTTCCTCTAAATGTCCTAACGGTGACCCAACGCTTATGTCCCAGTATCTTCTGTGTTTGGAACTAGGTAAGCAGCAGAGGAGGAAAGCTGCCTTTGGGATCTCAACCTAAGACCGAACCTGTACAACCAGCACCCACCCAAATCCCCAACCACATGCAACCTGCAGCCTGGCCCTGGCTCTCTCGCTGGAGAGAGGTGGGGGAACTTGTATGGTAAATATCACACAGTGGGAAGCACTTACATATTCATCTTGTAAAAATTGTGAATATACAATCAATTGTAACTTTTCTCCCAAGGAATCTGTATTTTAATAAGTAGTGTCAAACTCCTAGAAATTTTCAAGATCCCCAAGAGTAAGTTTGTAATTCTGAGATGTGGGGTATTTTTCTAGGTGACTGAGGTAAGTATTGTGGCAAAAGACCTTTTCCCATTGCAATGCTGATTGACAACTTCTATCTGCATGGACCAGACACTGAGCTGGATATCTGGCGACAGGCATTCCATGGCTCAGATTCCTGTGAGACCCTTATCCTGCAAGATGTCCCCAGACCAGTGGCAGACCCTGTGTACACACAAATGCTAATGTGTCACAGTTCAGGTACTGGGATGGCTCATGGTCCCTCCCCTGCCTGATGTAAGTGAGCCTTTATCACGGAGGAAATAGACCCACCCTCAGTTGAAATAGATACCAGGGACCATCCAAGCCAGAGAGAAACAAACGTACTCTCCCTTTTCCTTGGGATGGCGGTGGGGGAGCTTCCTTCCAGGTACTGGGACTGGCTCAGCTTCTCTGCCTTAGGAGCTTGGTATGGCGGTGGGGGAGCTTCCTTCCGGGTGCTGGGACCAGCTCACCTTCTCTGCCCTAAGAGTTGGGATCTCTCCCTTTTCCTTGGGCAAGACTTTCATCCCAAGTCGTATGACCCCATGTGGCTTGGGCCTGGGGTAGATGCAGATTTTGTGGAGCCTGAAGCTTACACCGCTTGGTAGACTTGGTAGTTCTTTAAGAAAAAGAACTCACAATTAGGAACTGAAAACTAGTTATAGAAGTGAGTGTTTCTTTAAAATGAGAAAAGAAATCACATCATATTACAAATTTATAAACTTTTAAAAATTGAAAAATGTCATGAACACTCCCTGGAACTGCAAAACTTGATTGAGAAGGCAAAACTCAGAAGCACTGACGTCACCTGTTATATTAGACATGTAGAGTAGGTAACTTCACACACAGATGGTCTCCATAATTGTTTACTTCAAGCACTAGCAACTAAAATTTTTCTAAATTTGATCAAGCCTATCACCCCACAGATGCAAAAGGCTCAGCAAAGTTCAAGTAGGAGAAACACAAACAAAACCTCTCCCAGGCACATCGTAACTGAAGGGATGAAAATCGAAGATAAACAGAAGATCTTTAAATCACCATCCTACCATTCCTAGCCCAAGGTCAATGCCTCCCAGGATCCTGGGCTCAGTTCTCTCCTTCCGCCCCAGAAACCCTGCTGGCAAGAACTGAAGAGTCCCAAGTTCCACTCCGAGTGTGAGCCAACCGGGCTGCGACCATTGCACGGATCCTCACAGCACGGAAGGGGAGCGAGCTTCAGGACGGAGGCGGTGGCCCTGTTCCCCTCCCTACGACCGGCAGGTGGGAGGTGTGTACACAGATCCGAGTCACAGCTGAGGAACCCCGCGCTTAGGAGACCGCAGTCTGTTAAAGGGACCACTGGCAAAGCGCCAGTGTCTGTTGTGGAAGGAGGTACCTTTCTGTCCTGCGAGCAGAGACACGCCTAGAAGTTCCTTCCAAGGTCGCCTGCTAGGCAAACATCCCCAGAAAGATCATCTGGGTAAAACTGTCACAAAAATACGGAAATGTGAAGGGTCCGTGGGGAACTGTCTCCCAACACTTCCTGCATACCGTCCTTTCCTTCTCTTGCGTAATCAACTACTTTGCATGCACTGCACCCCACTCCCCAACAACCAAACATCCCCAAGCCCCTCCTCGCTGTGGTACGAAGATCCCTAGATAACTCTCCCTGGGCACCACGCGCCTCCGGCCCCGTCCCAAGTTCTAATTACACAAGTTAGCGCCTTCTCCTCGTCCTGAGCCTCAGCCCCCTCGGATGGGACTCATCATTCTGCCAGTGCAGTGGGCACGCAGGGGCCGGGACGTAACGTCGCTGTGGGGCGACTCCCTAAGATATTTCGGAAAGGTGAAGGTCAGCCGTGGGGTGGGTGGAAGGGACCCATGTGGCTGGCGGGGGCTCGGTGGGGCGCCCAGGCCCTGCCCACGGCTGCCCGGGCGACGGCCACTCGCGCTCCTGCGAGTCCGGGCACAGCCCCTCCTGGGTTTGCAACCCCTTTGTCCACAGTGTTGGACTCCAAACCTGGTTGAACTTCGGTATCACCCGGCTGGCTGGGAATGCGTGTCCCAGGCCCCAGCCCAGACCCGCTGCGTCCGGATCTGCATTTTAACCGGGGCAGGGCAATCCGCGTGTACGCGGTAGTTTAAGAAGCGCCGGGCCAAGGACCTGAGTGCGGCCAAGTAACCTCAAGGCGGCAGAGGAACAGTGCAGAAATGTGCGTCCCGGGAGCCCAGCTCCTCCGGTTAGGATTTGTTCGGAGACTCAAAGCATCGCAGAAAAGAGAGCTCGGTGCAGACAGCGCCCGGGTGACCGGCAGGTGCCTGGCGGAGCCCTCGTGTGGCGCAGAGCGGGATTGCAGTCCTTGCTCCGCGCCGGGACCGCGCGCTCCCGGCCCGGCCCGGCGCTGCGCTGCGAAGGGTCGGGGTCAAAACCCGGGGCGCGGGGGCGCTTTCAGCCCCGCATCGGCGGCGAGACGGCCATGCGACGTGCGGACACCCACAGGAAGGGACCCGGCATCGCGGGCCCACTGTCAGGTCCCTTCCCGCCTCTCCCGCCCCATCCGGCCTCCCAAACCACAGCTGACGCTCTTGTCCATGATCCCACCGGAATCTGCTGCGGGAAAAGGGAGGAAGAGTCGGACCCGGACGATCGCTCTGGGGCGCTTTCGCCGAGGGTCACTCTCGGCCCTCGGCCCCGCTCCTCCCGGAGTCCCTTCGCATCCCCCAAACCCGCGCTGATTTTCCTGAGAAATAGGAAGGCTGTCTTGTAAGTCCCAACTCGAGTGCCTGCACAGTGACTCATCATCATCATCATCATCATCATCATCATCATCATCATCATCATCATCATCATCATTATTATTTTATTGCTGCTCAGGAGCCAGCACAGGGCAGCCGAGCCCCTCGCAGGCGGGGCGGGGGCAGGGGCGGGGAAAGGGGCGGGGCGGGGCCGGGTTACCCTCCCCGGGCGTCTACCCCTCTGCAGAGCCGGGCAGCGCGGCTCCGCCC